ATGCCGAGAGGAACCAAAGAGTACCAAGATGCCCAGGAAGTGTCCTAAAGCTCCGAAAGCCCTTCAGGCTGAAGCCCACAACATCCCGGAAGGAACTTCCTTCTCCTCCAGTGATGACGAAGTACAGCCGGCGGGAAAAGGATGCCAACCAACAGGTCTGAAATATTCCGGTGCATGAATTGGTGAGACACATCTTCCCCTTGTTCTATTTAACTGTTACCATAATTAACCCCGAAGCGGGTACCCACATCCAGGTGAGAGCCCTTATAGACTCAGGGTGCACCAGAGACTTAATAAGCCCCGCAACTGTTACTGGACTGGGGCCGAAGGTGCACAAACTCAAGGAGCCCATAGTGTTTTCTCAGATGGACCCTATGAAGGAGGATTGCCAATATCGGACAGTACATTTACCCGTGGTGGGTGTCGACACACTGGGAGATGAGTTCCTTTGTGATAAATCCTGCGGCCAAGTTCCCGATGGTGTTAGGCAGCCCATGGCTCCAGGTTCAGGACCCCTATGTGCAGTGGAGCACCGGGACTCTTACGTTTTTGTACCCACAGTGCAGGGAGCACCTCTGGCATCCCGAATGGGGGGAAGAGCCACACCTGGCAGCCGAACAAGTGTGCCTAGCGAGGGAAGAGTTGAACCTAATTCCCGTGGAATATAGGGACTTGGCTCGGATGTTTGAGGAAGAGGAAACAGATGAGCTGCCTCGCCATCATAAGACTGATTGTGTTATCGAAATGCTGCCAGGTCATAAATTACCGAAAGGGAAGTTATATGTCATGAGCCCTGCTGAAAAGGAAGAGCTGTGGAGGTACATTGAAAAAGGTGAAACCCAATATGGTTTGCAAGACATGAAATCAGTCATAGAAAACTTTTATAAGAAATTATATACGCAGGAGATACAAGATGTTAACGCCATATATCAATTTATTGAAGAAAAAGAGAATGGCTTTAAATTGGAAGAAAAATATAAGAAGAGTTTAAATGAAAATATAACGATGTGCGAGATAGTGGAAGCCATCAAAAAACAGAAAAGGAGAAAAACCCCAGGAACGGACGGAATACCAGCAGAGATATACCAAGTTTTTGAAGATCAAATTAGTATGCCCTTTAAAGATCTTCTGCAAAATATTAGATTAACAGAGAAGTTGCCGGATTCATGGTATCAAGCAGTAATTACCTTGATACACAAACCAGGTACAGAGCCTAAAGAAATAAAAAACTATAGACCCATCTCACTTTTAAACGCGGATTACAAGATCTTTGCCAACATATTAGCAACTAGATTGAAAACAGTGCTGTCGCAAATTATACACCAAGATCAAGCAGGATTTCTCCCGAAGAGACAGATCAAAAATAATATACGAACAATCATAAATGTAATAGAGTATTATGAGATGCACCCTGGGAAGACCATAGCATTAATGTTTATGGACGCTGAGAAAGCGTTTGATAACCTATCATGGGAATTTATTTTTCAGAAGTTAAAGATCTGGGAAAGTGGTGAACACTTTGAAGCAATGATACGAGCCATATATAAAAATCAAACAGTGAGGGTAATAATAAATGGTGATACGACAGCAGACATTGAAATCCAAAAAGGAACGAGGCAAGGGTGCCCACTTTCACCTTTATTATTTATATTTGCCTTGGAAACATTGAATAACATGATAAGGAGAGACCAGCAAACACGTGGTCTAAGGGTGCAGGGCGAAGAATTCAAAGTAATAGCATATGCAGATGATATAGTATTTATTTTGGAAGATCCTGTAGAGACAATAAATTACCTGCTGGAATTAGTAAGGGGATTTGGAGAACAAGCAGGGCTAAAGATTAATCAGAATAAATCAAAAATAATTACAAAAAATTGCACAATTAATCTGACAAAAGAAATCCAACAAAGAACAGGAATGGAAGTAGTGAAAAAAATTAAATATTTAGGAATAATAATTTCTTGTAAAAGTACAACACTCATAGAAGATAATTATCATAAGTTGCTTGAAGAGATTAAAAAAGAGCTACATCATTGGGAAAAGTTACAGATATCATTAATGGGCAGAATAGCCGCGGTTAAGATGAATGTCTTACCTAAATACCTATTTTTAGTACAGAATCTCCCGGTACTAAGAAATCAACAATTCTTTTTGGATCTAGAAAAAGTCATTAAGAAATTTATCTGGTACCCTAAAAGAGCTAGAATTAAGCTAACAACCCTACAGGATAGAAAGGAAAGAGGAGGGTTTGGACTCCCTGATTGGAGACTATACTATCAGGCAGCGGCTTTAAACTGGATTAAAGATTGGATTTGGTTTAATAATATTAGGAACCTGAAACTTGAAGGGCACGATCTAAGAATGGGATGGCACGCCTACATATGGTATGGAAAGGATAAAATACACTATAATTTCAAACACCACATACTAAGAGGCGCGCTAATCCGGGTGTGGAATGGGATTAAAGAAAAACAATATGAAAGGACTCCGAGATGGGTGTCGCCGCTAGAAGCCTTTATTACACCAACGCTTATAGACCCTTGGGATAGAGAAAGTTATGACACCCTCTTGGATAAGAATAATATGCTTAAATCCAGGGAGGTGTTGCTGTCCCAGAACAAAATAAACCTATCTTGGTGGGAAACACTTCAACTACAGTCCAGATATGCCAAAGATCAAAAAGTAGGGTTTGAGGATGGCAAATTGCAGTTAGACAAAATATGGGCATCAAACAGTGACAAAATGATTCAAAAATTGTATAAATGGTTATTGGAGGGCCGGGTACAAGAAGAGGCTACTAATACAATGAAAGCTTGGTGTAAGGATGTAGGGCATGAAATAAATATTGAGGACTGGAGGAAAACTTGGAAGTCTATAAAGATGGTGAGAAGTACCAACTACAAAGAAAATATATACAAAATATATCATAGATGGTACTGGTCGCCTGATAAAATAGCCAAGTGCAATCCTGCATTTTCTAAAAATTGTTGGAAGTGTCATAATAACGTGGGTACCTTCATTCATATGTGGTGGAGATGTCCAAAGGTGCAGGATTTTTGGAAAATGATACAGAACATAATATGGAAACTAATAAATATAAAAATTCAGCTAACTCCGGAAACAATCTTATTAAATATGCTACCAGAGTCCTACAGGTGGAAAGATAAATATATTATTGTGATAATTCTTACTACTGCAAGAATTTTGCTAGCTAAGTTTTGGAAACAGGACTATATCCCGAAGAAAGAAGACTTGGTGTGTAAATTATTGGAAATGGCGGAAATAGATAAGTTAAGCTTAACTCTTAAAGGGAAAGATGATAAAGTATTTGAAAAAAGATGGAAGCGTTTGTATGAATGGTTGGAACAAGATGGATAAGACTCCGAGAGGATTCTTGAGGATAAATGTTTGATATGTTATGTTATGTTTTATGAAAAATGAAAATAAACGATTTAAAAAAAAAAAAAAGACTTTGCACAGACTACCGGGGGTTGAACGCTGTGTCCATGTCTAATGCTTACTCCCTCCCCCTTATCAAAGATTTGTTGGCCAAGGCATCCCAAGGGAGAATTTTTACTAAGTTGAACCTCCGTGATGCCTACTTTCGGGTGCAAATAAGGGAAGGGGATGAAAATAAAACTGCCTTCAACACCCCGTTGGGGCAGTTCGAGTACCTGATCATACCCTTCAGAATGGCTGGGGAACCCAGAGTATTTATGAACTTAATCAATGAAGTGCTACACAGGTTCCTGTTCAAAGAGGTGCCTGTTTATCTTGATGATGTGTTGGAGCTATTCAAAAGATAAAGAGTCACATGTGAGACTGGTGCGGGAGGTCCTAAAAGCCCTCTGCAATAACAACCTCTATGTGAAACTCTCCAAGTGTGAGTTCCATAAGGAGGAGCTGGACTTTTCAGGATACCATATTTCAGAAAAGGGTTTGGGCATGGGCCCCAAGACAATTCAGGACGTGGTGGGGTGGGAGGCCCCACACACAAGGAGGCAACTACAGTTGTTCCTGGGGTTCACCAATTTCTACAGGTCTTTCATCCCCAATTTTGTACAAGTAACCCTGCCCCTCACAGACCTGTTGAAAACAAATGGAAAGGGCCAGGAGTGTAAGAAAGTGAGTAGCCAGCTGGATTGGTCCCCGGAATGCTAGCAGGCCTTTGATGACTTGGTAGCACTGGCTAGAAGGGGCGAGGGTACCTTTTGCGGTATGAACTGACCACAATAATTTAGAGGCCCTCAAAGCCCCAAGGCATTTAAATGCAAAACAGTTGCGCTGGGCTGAATTCTTTTCAAAGTTTCATTTCACACTGAAGCACCTCCCTGGCACGTCAAATTTCCTGGCTGACACTTTGTCCTGCCTTCCCCAGCATGCCTGCCAGTGTGATGAGATAGTGGACACCATGTTCACGCCCACTCAGTTGGGGGGAGCCATGGTGACACATAGCTAAGTGAAGGGGGAGACCCCGACTGCTTCACAGCCGTGGGCGGAGAAATTCAAAGCTGCTCTCTCCGACCGAGACAAGGCAGAGATTGAGAAAGATGGGACTTTAACCCAAAATAATTATGGATGTTGATACCGGCAAGATAAACTGTTTGTCCCTGAAGCCTTCAGAGGGGAAGTATTAACCATGGGGCATGATAACAAACTTTCAGGACATTATGGTTATTTAAAGACTCATACAGAGACAATTCTGGTGGCCCAGGATGACAGGGGACATTTCCAAATGTGTGTCTTCATGTCAAACTTGTCTTATGAGCAAATGGCGGGCAGGGAAGGTGCCGGGGTTGCTGCAGCCGTTAGAGACCCTGGATCGACCCTGGTCAGTGATCTCAATGGATTTCATCACCGATCTGCCTCCCAGCCATGAGGAAATGGTCATTTTGGGTGGTTGAGGACTTATTTTCCAAACAAGCCCATTTCATTCCATGCAAACAGGTGTCCACCACAAAGCAGTTGGCTCAAATGTTCATGCAACATATCATAAGACTCCATGCTCTGCCCCGCAAAATAATTTCCAATCGAGGGTCCCAATTCATTGCCAGGTTCTGGAAGGAACTGTTATCAAGTTTTTAGGAATCAAGCAGGGCACAACAGTAGCTATCACCCAGAAACTGATGGGCAAATGGAACGGACTAACCAGGTTCTGGAGCAGTTCTTAAGGTGTTTCATTAATCATCAACAAGACAGTTGGATGAACCTGTTCCATTTTGCTGAATATAGCTATAACAATTTGGTGCATAGTTCCATTGGAGTTTCCACTTTTAAGGCTGTTCATGGATATGAAGGGGGACCTTTGCCTACTCTGACACCAGATGCTCCAAGTGCAGGTGATGCACACATGTGGTGGTCTAGTGTGACCCAGGGGTGGTCCAACCTGCAAAAGACACTTGACAAAGCCAAGGAGGATTACAAAAGCTATGCTGGGGATTTAAAGCCTGGGGACTCTGTCTATATTTCCACCAAGAACCTAAAAGGAGTGCAACCAGGGAGAAAATTGGGGTGGAAGTATATCGGTCCTTTCAAAGTGGTGTGCTTGATTAACAAAGTGACTGTGGACGTCGAGATGCCTACAACACTCCATCATGTGCACCCTGTGGTTCATTTTAGTCTGCTGAAGAAGGGTCCTAGACCCTTGAAGTGGAGACCATGTCCTCTGGCTCCCCCCCCCGATGACTGATGGAGAAGCGCATCAGCAAATGGAAGATATCCTAGGTTCTAAGATAAAGAGTGGAGAGACTTTGACCCTTCCCATAATGATTGGGTTGAATCTAGGCACATAAAAGCTGCCAAATTAATCACTACATTCCATAAATGTAACCCTCTCAAGCCTGGGGGGTGAGGCGATGCTTGAGGCGGGCAGTATGTTAAACCGTGATACGCTTCACTTCCTTTGGTTGTCATTGTTGCTGGGGGGAGGGAATTCCTTGGGGAGGGGGGTGGCATGAGGGAGTGAGAGAGTGAGACCTTTCGCTTTTAGAAGACATAACTTTCCAAGCCAACCTCCTTTCCCTCCTTTTTCATTCCCAGGGGAAGGTGTCCTTGAGAGGCTCTCTGTACCAACTTGGACTGCAGATAACCAAGACATATATATTTCACTTGGTTGGGATAGCAACTTTAGGTGTGGTGTGAATGTGACATGTGCTTGGGGGAAAGGGAAAGGGCTTTTCTTTTAATTTTCTATATTAAGCTTGTGCCCGCCAAAAGTCTTCAGTTTTGACACAGTGACTTTCTGAATCTTGCATATAATTCAATAAACTTATCACTGCCAAGAGAGAGTTGTTTAGTATAACTAGACCAGGGTCTGACACAGGGCCACCAGTCTGGAGCAGGAGGCAATAGAGCCAGTGGTCATTGCCAGCACTGCTGCCCTGACTGGCGCTGCAGCACTGACTTGTTGTCCAGCAAGGGCCATTCAAGCTTGGCTTGCTCCATGGCCCTTTCAACTTCCCTGTTCACCCCCATTCAAAATCAGCACTGTGCACACCTGGTTTCTACTTCTGCACAATAAGTCTTTCCTGAGACATCTAGAGCAAAATTGAGTTGTTTGTGACATTGTGAGTGTGCTTCCAGACTGGCTTCAAGCACTAAAGCAACGTGCACCATTACACCTTTCTTCCTGAGTCTGCCATTCGGGCTGCATAGAACAAGCTAGATGTGTTTACAGGCCCTTTCCAGTGCAAGACTATAGAATTACGCCATTCTGTTTTTCCTGCACTCCATATGTTACAGACCATTCAATGAGATCAAACCTTCTGTAACAAATGTCAATTTAATTTAAACACAGTAACTGTACACTACAGAGAAACAGGGGTGGTCCTTACATTATTAAAAGAATCCTCCTCTGTACAGAAGAGCACCTTTGGATCCACCCTCACAATCTTCAAGGCATACTATTTGAGCTCTTTAAAGCACTGATACTATGGAAAAGGAACATTTGAACATTAAAACGTTTGGGTAGTGTTAATATACACATAACTAACCAACCTGTCAAATGAACGGCCATATGAAGATGACTTGTTAATATGCAAGTCTCGGGTGAGATGCCAAAGTACTGCAAACTTTGCATGCGCTTCCATCCTGGTTTTCTGCAGAATAAGAAGGAAGATTAATCCATATGTGATGTTCGTAGGGGAAAGCAGTTTAAAAAAAAATAATAAATCTAAGAGCATCATGAGTTTAAAACGTTAAAGAAAATACAGATCAGAGTTTGACTCACAACGATGGGGAGGCAGCTTTGTATTTTTCAAGGTTTTGTGTTCTCTTAGCACAACTATTAGCCATTATAAAATTATACATAAAAATGCACACAGACAAATAAAATAATCAATATAATACCACAGTTCATAAAATAATTTGACAGTGTTTGTATCATACTGTATCTCCAAAATGTTATCATTTAGACACAGCACTTGCTAGATAAAGAGAACTACATTAGCAACTATTATGGAACAAATAATAAAAAAAGTGTTGTGTTGGATCCAGCAATCTGTCAGCAGAAGCCATGGATGCAAATTTTTATCCCATTCCTCTCACACCCTAGAAGTCCTTTCCAGTATTCAAAAAGGGCTGTGGGACCCATGTGGACTAAGCTATATGTGTTGGGGCAGGGACAGCAGTAAAGATTCTGGAGATAGCAGTAATTCAAAACTGGAGGATGAACAAACATGGGAGCAGCAGCATACGTAGAAGAGAAGAGATAGGACTAAAAAGATACCAGTTTTTGATTATGCCACAACTGCAAGCAAGGATGATTGCCTGTATTTGAATTATACTGCTCATCGCCACCAGTATGAGGCTTCCATAGCTTGCATTTTACCAGCATAGTCTGCCAACACAACACATTATTCTAAAATAATTTCACTGATAATGTACACAATTCCCATATGTAGCTCACCTCTAAAAAGAGCCCATTCAGTATGTAGAGATTTACCTTATCCCTGTGAGTTAACTGCTGACTTATAACATCCTCGCAAATGCTAGAAGATGGAACTAAATTGTGCAATTGGAAAAAAAGCTCCACACTCTTCTGGTGATGCTGAGGGGTTCCATCACCCAACTGGTCCCACAGAGTTAAAGCCACATGCTTTAGGAAAGAGACAAAAGAAAATACAATTAAATCAGGAAATAAACAAGAAGAGTAAATGAACTTCAAAATAGTAAAGTTAGTTTTTTAAAAGTTAGTATGATATACATTCTAAAAGTACATCTATCACCAGGGTGCCAGCTGAGGCAATGGTGCAAGGGTGCTAACATGGGCCAAGCTACTGGAAAGGTTGCAAGAAACTTTCCAAAGTCCTCAAAGAAGATCAATAAATGGAAGTAGCACATATTTAGATGTTTTAGTATACCTTGAAAAAATCTGTCTTCTCAGCCATGTATCGCAGGTTGCCTTGAGTAAGTGGAGGTTTAATGACAACAGCCACTCTTCCTTGATTTGGACTCAGAGGTGGTGCGGTTTCAACGCTGCTTAGGTTTTCTCCCGTGACAATAGCAACTGACTGAGTCAAACCAACCAAGTCCATTATTAGAGAAATAGTAACACCTTGGATTCTAAAATCATTTGCTTGCCTGCAGGCACTCATGAGAGTCTGGAGCCACAGGGGAGGTTGCTCTTGTTCACAATCTGAAACAGAAAGGGGGGGGGGAGATGGTCTTAATGAATGTAATTTCAATTTGCACCAGAAATGCATTATTCCCCTCCCCCTGCCCTCCAATCTGGCATACCTACTACAGCTTTATGGCATTAATCTATCTCAACTGTCCTTCACTGTATTACCATTTTAATTTGTAGTTTTGGTAATACGTAAAGGTTACATTTTGCCATATTACTGGTTTACTTTGTTTTTAGTAACATTCAAGCCCCTGAGAGTCATTTTTCAGTTCTGGCAAAATCTAATCAGTAGTAAGACAGACAGAACACTCAAAATACTAACCCGAAAATATTGTAACTAACTCTAAATGCCAGGCAGAGGTCTTGTTTTACTATTTTCAAAAACATCAGTAGTCCAGGCAGGCAGCCCCCCCCCCCCCGAAGTTGTTTTTGAAATGCAGTGTTTCAAAGCCGTTTATAACATGGAATGGAAGGCAGCTGTTCAAAGCAGAAAAGTCAAGAGTCCTGCTGGGGATACCCCAGGCATTTGGGCAGCCTGAACCTAGGAGCCCGGTGTCAAACTTCGCTTTGTTTAGTTTGCCATGGTTGTAGGGGGAAGGGAAATTCCTAGGGGGAGGGAGGGAATGCTGAGTGTGTGAACCCTGCTATCGTAGAAGTTGTAATTTTTCCTGAAGAAGCCTTCGTCCCAGAGGAACGTCCTTGAAGCCTTTGGTGCCAGCTTGCTAGGGTAGATAGTGGGATTGTATATTTCCCAGCGGGGATGGGTGGACAACGCAACGGCTAGGCAGGATTAATGTGATGTGTGATTGGTCACTTCGGAGGGGTCTTGTTTGAATTTCCTATATCTGTACCTGTACCCGCCAAAATCCTCAGTTCTGACACAGTACTGTTCTGGTCTGGATCATTTCTATTTCTCAATAAACAAATCACTGCCAAAGAGAGTGTTGTTGAGAGTAACTTGTCCAGGAGCCTGACACCTGAATCGTGACCATTATGAACACTTGTAATCTATTTGTCCTGCCCTGGCGGACTACCAGAAGCAGCAACATTGAACAGATAATGTTAACTGGAGGGAAAAAAATACGGCTCACAAGTTTAAAATGATAAAAGGGAATGAGGGTGGCAGCAATAAAAAAGCTTCCCAATCAACATCAACCATAGAAATGGGCCGCTCCATTTCTATCAATGGAGGGGGCAGATCTGAATATGTATATTTGCAGCTGGTTCCCTGAAAGAACAGGACAGCCTTTCTTTCAGGTGTTCAGATCAGGAGGTCTGTGCACTTTCCAAGTCTGCAAGAACTTTTTGCACTGTGGTGAATGTAAACCTACGAATAAATCATGCACTTTCTTTCTATTCCAATTTCCTGTGATATTATGGTGCTTTGACTCTCCACCCACAAGCATGATAGCATAATCAAACATCAAGAAACTTAAGTGGAATGGAATGGCAAAATCCCCAAATGACTTTAGGACAAAGCCCTGAAGGAAGATCGGTTTAAGCTACTGTAGGATGTGGATATCACTGGAATAAATGTATTTCAGGTTTTGGACTACCTCTGCTGAGTACAGAAAAGAAAACCTGACACTGGCTGTCAGAAGGCATGGGCCAAACTAGAGTAGCACTTCAGGAGCGGCCCCTTAAAAATACAGGATGAAATCTTGGTAAATGAACTGGATGGCAAACAAGACAGTGGAGAAGAAACTGCAGTTGGTTATCTGTGGAGACTAGGTCAACTAATGAGAAAACAAACATAACAAACACACCAGAGAGGAAAAAAACAACAACAACACTTGCACTATGAGACTAAATAAAAGCAAAAAATTAAAATCACTCCCACTACTGAGTGAAGGGCACTAGGGTCCCAGGCTTGGCACACATCAGGAATCTCATAGCTGTCACATATGCAATGCACAAGGGCAAGCAGATATTGGCATTTCACCAAGAGTCACAGAAATTGCCTGGATGGCAAGTCATCAGAATAGTCTAAAAAAGACACTGGAATATGTGTGGTTGATTAACACTGACTGTTAATAGCAATGCTACTAAATTAATCATTCTGCAGCAGACCCCTTCTAACAGATTAGCCAAATGAAACCTCAGCATCTCTTTTCAGAAACCCTTTTTGCTACTAAATAGTCTAACTTTTATGCCTCATTGGTTTTTGAAAGGATTGGTCTATGCCCTTGGAAAAAAGAAGAAGAAATAAAAAGTTACGGAGCAAAACTCCTGCTTTACAAGATTCACAATTAAATCCAAAAGAAAACTTGGAAGGAAGGAGATAAAAAGGGACAGAACTCACCAACATCTGTCTTTTCATCAGGTATTTCTGAAGTATGATTTCCCTCTGCAATGTAAACAGGAAAACTTGAACATTCAAGGAAGAGCTGGCATGCAGCAATAAAGGCAGAGAGGTATTCTTTTGGTGTGGTCTTCTTATTTGATTTCTTCCCTTTATCTGCATCTCCTTGAGAGTCTCTATTGCCTTGTGCAGCCTCTCCTTTCGCTCTAGCAAGGTCCTCCTGAATCTCCGCTGCCAAAGGCCGAGACAAGGAATTGCTTGGAATGATATACAGGTTGATAAATCTGGTTAAAAACTGTTGGACATACTCCAAGCAGCACTGCATTGCAGTCTTTTGAACTGCTGTTGTCTTCCCACCTCGAGATTCTGTCCCCTGTGTCATCTTGGAAGGAGGCTGCACTATGGTCTCCTCAGAACCCACGGTAGAGGCTGTCTCAGTCTCTGAGGAGGCACTACCTATGATGGCAATGCTAGCTGTCCCCGAACCCCCACTTAATATCCTGTCAATGTCGTCCACTGTATCTGCCTGGTACTGGACAAACTCAGTGAAGCCACTTTCCGATGATCGACTACTTGGAGGATTTTCACCATCTTCAAACACCTCACCAGGAATTTCTACAGAAACCAGTGGCATCTAAGGAAGAAATGATAAAAAAGGATTAAAATAGTAAATCTGAATGATTGATTGGAAATACAAAATGCAGAAACTAGTTCTGGGCATTTCATGCATTACTTCCATGCACTTCTACCAGAAACATCTTACTGCATTTGCTTTTTCCTTTTAGTCTAGCCACAGATTCAGAATTGCCAGGGTTGTTTTTTTTTACCTCACAGTTGTATTTGTTGCCATTTCTGTTTAAAGGGACCGCATATTTGAAGGGGTCTGGCACCACACTATTGAGTTAAATCTAATAAGTCCCTTCCACTAAGTTTTCCTACAATGGAGAAAGAGTTAATGGAAGGGAATAATTGGATACAACCCTAGGGGATTCCTGGAGATCAGGCTTACAAAAGCACTGTGGCCACAGTCAAGCCATGAATATTGAGCCTCTTTCAAATGATGTACCAGATGGATCCAACCATGCTATGGCTTGGATCCTGACAAAAATTATTCCTCACTAAAGGATGTCTGTCAGCAGAGCACAAATTTCTTACCTCCTCCCCACATTGCCACCAGAATATTCTCGCCCAGTACTTCTACTGGAGGCCAGGGAACCACCAGAAACAGCCTGAGAGGGTGGTTGGAAGTCTATGGTGGGAGGGGGGAAATCAGCAAAAACTTACCCTTCCAACAGAAATAATTAGTGGGATCTACTCCATGACTTTGGAAAGTTTGGTTGAATCCATCTACACTAACAGCACTTCCAAGATGTTATGGTTTCATTTACTACATATTTACTATTATTCTGACTATGTGTGCCATCCAAAGTGCCTGTCTGTGAGGAAAACACCGCTCTGTGCCAGAGGGGTGGTGAGACTTTTGTGGTTTCCCCTTTCCAGTGTTGACCACCAAGTGGCACCCATACATAATGGTCCAGGAGCCACTTTCTGTGAAGTGCAAGGGGGTATTAGCAAGAAGGAAGACACTACTCTCATGATCCTTTGGATCCAACCCTGTGAACCCCTAAATATCAAGAAAATAAAAATGCATAATGCCTTTGGTACTAGGCTATTCACTACCATTGCATTAGTGCAATCATAGCCATGAATATTTTTTTTCTCCAGCAGGTTTACATTCTATAGTACCTGTGCAACGTGCAGTTTTGCAGCAAAGTTTTATCAGTAAGGCCAGTATCAAAGGATCCCAACAAGTCATTTTCAAATTAGTACTACTATGCAGTGAAGAAAAGTTAATTTAGTACAATAACTGCATAGGTAGATTTTGAATACATCAGTATAGTACATGCAAAGTTCTGGACTCTGCATATCACACTGTGGTTAAAAAGTCAGAAAGTAAATTAACTTTACATATTCAGTCTAGTTTGGTCTTGCTTTTACCATTGTGAAAACAAACTGAACCACAAAGCAAAATTTATCACACATTTTCCCTGTTTGTGGTTCATGAACCAACGTTCGTGACAGTTCTACTGCCATGTACTTTCATAAAATGTTAAAGCAGTTCGTGGAGGTTCATGGACAGAGCAAAAAGCCCCAAGAACAGCAGAGTGGCGGGGAGCGTCTCCCTGCTGCTCAGCTATTTTGAGGGGTTTCTTGTGCTGTTTTTCAGGCTTTCTGCAACCCCCCTTTAAAGGGACTGTGGTTTCTTTCAAAGGGTTTTGTGGGACCACAAACTGGTTTGGTTTGCAAACAAACCTCCTGGTTCAGTTTGTGGTTTGGCCACAAACCGATACAACCTGCATTTTTCTGGTTCATGTCCATCCATAAATGTGAGCTCCTAGTTTTCTCCCCACCATCATGATTTCATGCCTCCCCTAGTAACATTCTTTTTTAAAAAACAATTTTATTTGGATATAACATCAAGTCAACCAATATAACATTTTGGCATCCATCTTATATCCTTTTCTCTCCATATCTCCCCCCTTCTGGCTTCCCGTAGTGCTCCCACCTCCCTTCCAAATCTTCTATTTTCTTCTCTCTTCTCCCCAAATCAATAATTAAACTTATAAGGTAACATTTCTTTAAACTATTATTCTTACACATTTGAACTAACTCTAAATATCCTTCTATCTCCAATAGTTATCAAAGCAAAATAGATTATTCTTCACATCCCAATATTTCTCCAGGTATTCTTTAAGATCTATCCAGTCTTGCAAAAAATTCTTCTGCTTCCTGATTCTTGAGCTTTCTTGTCATTTTGTCCATTTCAACCATAAAAAGCAACTTTTTTATCCACTCCCAGATCCCTGGCGTTTTTTCTTGTTTCCAGCATTGAGCATAAGCCATTCTGGCTGTTGTGATCATGTACCACATTAGAGTCCGTTTTGCAATATTTACTTCTTCCATTTTAAGTCCCTGTCGTTCTGTGTGCCTTTGACTGTTATAACTGAAACTTACTCCTTGCGGTATTTCCCATCTATATCTTATATTCAATTGCTTCAGTTTATCTGTTAGTCTCTTGTACTTTTTTCTGTCTTGGATGATTGTTCTCGGGAGCTCTTTCATTATTATGATCTTTCCCCCATCAATTTCTAGTGGTTCAGTAAATTGTTTCTTAAATATATCTTCTTTCATTCGCCTGGTTAATAACTGCACAATCACATCCCTTGGCAAATTTTTCTTTTGTGCATATGCTGAGTTCACTCTATAGATCAAATCAAAATTAAAATTTATGTCTTCCACTTCTTGCAAATATTCTGCCAACGCTTTGATCACTAATGTACGGGTATCCTCATCTAGTTTTTCTTCAATACCTCTCAGTCTCAGATGGGTTTGCATTGCTCTGTACTCCATCATTGTATCCAGTCTATTGTTCTCTTGTATCACAGTTTCAACCTTTCTATTCATTTCTTGTGTGTTTTGTTCCATTTCAGTAGATTTCTGTGAAATTCTTTTTTATTTCTGTTACTTCCTTTTTGAGATCAGCCACCTCTGAGACTACTAACTCTTTCATTTTGGCCATATTTTTATCTTGGACTTCCTCCAGATTTTCCATCTGTTTTTACAGGCCTTGGATGGCTTCCATCATCCTTTTTTCCATAGCCTCCATTGTTGCTTGCCATTCCTGTTTTTCTTTTTTAGACATCCTTGGACTCGACCAGGTAGCTGCCCTCTGTCTCTGTCTTAGATCCGTTTTTAAAACTTGTTTAAAACTTGTTTAAACTTTAGCAACTCTGAATTAAATTTCACTTACACAGCCTAGTTGCCCTTTTTGCGCTTAGCCGAATTGCTTTCTTTTTCTTTTTCTATTCTTAATTTCAGCCAAAAAATTGTAATTTAAAATTTAGTCCTCCTCAAAATGTCAGGCGTCTTTTCGCTATGATTTTCCGGTCTAGAATAGTCTTTTTTTGGTCTTCCGCTTCCTGTCCGTCCATTTATTCGCTCCTCTGGTGTCCTCTTCCTCTTCAATCCTCTTCCGGTCCTCCACGCTCCTTTCTATCCTTTCTATCCACTCCTCTTGTCTCCGCCGGACTTCTTCTACGACACTTCTGGGACACCTCCTTTTTGTTGTAATTTGACTCTTCTCCCCCCCGAGTTCTCGCGTTTTTTCTCGTTAGTTTCGGTCTCAGTCTCATATCTTTTAGCCGCCACAGGAATGCTAAACAAAGTCCCTTTTCCTTTATTTTTAGTATTTTTAACAGCTCTTTTGTTCTCTAAAATTACGCAGATATTTTTTTAAGTTCATAATCGCCTATCCGGTTCCTTCAAAGTTCTCCTCCGACTGTTTCCCGGTAAGCAAAACGTTTTTGTTACCTTGTTTGTTTATCTTTGGCTTTCACACTGCTTCCTTCGATCCAAATTCTCTCTTTCTTCTTAGGAGGCCGGGAAATGGTGACTTTAAGCTGACTTCTCAGCTCAGTGTGCTCTTTTAGTGCTGATCGCAACGCCCGCTCTGGGAGAGGAGATCAAAGTGTAACACAAGTCTCCTTCGAGGCTTGATTACACTAATCTCAACTCTCACTTGGGTCTTGATGCCTGCCAGTCATTCCCCCTGCCTGGGGTAAGCTGCGCTGAGCAAATACTTGCCCAAACTGCTACAAAGAACCACCATCCACCCTGAGTACTTACAGGGTGCGTCAAATCGCCATTTTCCCCTGACCGGAAGCCCCTCCCCTAGTAACATTCTTGTCATACAATTTTTCTGCTTCTGTCCCACCCCATATAGTGGACATCCACCACCTTCAGCTGGAGGGAAATGGTGTACTAGTGGCCCCAAGATTAGCAAGTGATTAATTTCTTCATTCCATTCTCTTTCCAGTATCAAAGAAAAGAGAACAGAAAAATGGGTATGGACATGTGCAGCTAGTTAAGCCATTGTTTGCCCCAAGGTTACATGGCATGCTGAGATATTCACAGTTATTTTCTACAGTGTAAAAGTCCATGAGTAGCACATGGGTTCTTGTTCATCAATCTAACCATTCTTTAAACTAAGATTTAAATTTCATAGAAACTATTCAAAAGCTAATCTGTTACCTTCAAACAGAAAAATAGTTAAGAGGCTTACCTTTCTCTCTTCCCATTCTTTGATGCTGCTGTGTCTGCTTAAAAGCTGCAGTGCACCATCAGTACCAGCAGATAACAACGGAGGCTGAACTTTGCTAAGTATCTTGGAGCAGAGCCTCAAGGAATCTGTTAGTTCAGAGAGGTGCAATGTCTGGAGGTGGCTCGTCAATGCAGAGATCATTCTGAGCAACAGCTGAGGCAGATGTTCCGTTTGTATTTCAATATAAGTCTCCTGGTAAGATACATAAATAAATACAATTGAGACACTGTCTATAATTTGCACTTGCAACAGATTTCAGCTTTTGAATAATTCCATTCATAACCAAAATGATAAACAACATAAAAAATACAGGCGTTGAGCCAAATTATCTTTTTGATAGCCTAAGGGGCATCTTCACTTCCCACAAGCTTTCCACTAAATGGGCTTTAATTATGTTAACTGCACTGATTGTCATCATATAATGTAAAGTAAAATAAAATTTTGGGGGAAAGTTTTCCACTGATCCCCCCCCCCCCCGCGGTTCCCTCAACCGCCGTCCACTGATCTGCACTGATTTCAGGGATCACAGCAGGTTGGAAAAAATGGGGGAAATGCCATTCTATAACTACAAGCATGCTTACAAGTGCATAAGTCTAAACATAATAAAAATGTTGCTATTAGTATTAAAATTTGCTCATTTACTTCATGCACAATATGCAGAGAATAGCCATACAGTAAGAGAGAACATATCCCAGAGGGGACAGGGACAAGGAATTATGCTGCTAAGAGTGACAGTCTCTAAGGAATTTGGGGAGTGCAGACCATAGGATATTCCATAGGTCCTAAAGTGTAATCTGAGGTCATGTGATCAACCTTGTGGGACCTAAGCAGATCTAGGTTTGGTCAAGAGTCCGGAGACCTACTGGGAACTGTGTGTATTCTGCCTTGAGTTCATTAATGGAAGACAGGTGGGATATAAAGGAAACAAATTCCTCTAGGTCTGGAATCTGGATTCCTCTTAGTAATTTTAATAGCAAGGAACGTGGGGAATTACGTTTTGTAAACTGTAATCTGAATGCTGGGAAAATGCAACAGAGCCACAACAGAAGTACAACCAGAAGTGTCCTTTGTGTGCAGCATATTAGAAAAATGATTATCTAAGCACATCCTAGAAGAACAAATTGATGAAAAGTATTCCAGAATAATGCAATGGCTATATTTGCGCTTAGCATTTTACCAGAATGCACAATTAAAAATGGAAAACAGTCTGGATATCATACCTGACAAAGTACTCTCATACTTCTAGTAGGCTTTGAAATGAGAAAGCAAAGAATTTGAAGACAAGACAGGTTACAGAAGGGAAAAATGCATTTCCATGAGTGCCTTAAGAATAGGTAATGTTCACATTATATTTATCATATGAGAACTATACAGATTATGACATTATAAAGAACTACTGGTACTGACTAGGTTTCACAAAAACACACAGCAATATATTCTACTATCAAATGACAATATAGTTAGAAAATGGGAAGGTTTGTAACAAAAATCCTGCAATAAAACTCCTGCATCCAAAGAAAAACATTGACCTGTGTGATAAAAAAATCCATTTTACATCTTATCACTACCAATTTAAAGCTAATTAAACTAAAGGCAACAATTGTCTTTTTCTTGTTCTTCCTCTTGGTGAAGCATCTGTGTTATTAAAAAGCAGAAGAGTAGCAACTTTGTATGCTTGCACTTAACAAGCAAGCAAGCAACCTTACCAAAGAGACTATATCCAACAAAAAATCAACTAGTAGGCAGAAATTGGTCAGAGGGAGTTCAGCAGGTTCGCTGCCACCGCCAGGCAGAGCCTGTAGTCGGGCATGCAGTGTCCTCCTACAAAGAAGAATTTGGCAGCAGTGTGACAAGTATAAAGAAACAGTTTGTGTAATTTAATAGACCCTAAAAGTTATCCAACTGAAACGCTTTTGGAGCCAGCTACATCTTGGATGAGGTGAAACACTATATAGATTTTTCTACTCTACATTTTAAAACCTGAAATATCAAGAAAGAAAAAGATTATGGTTTCCTTTAAATTGATGCTATATTTACGAAGATATGCTGCAATACAGCAAGTGGTACTACAGCCTCCAATGATGATTTGCATGTGTGAATGGACCACCACAGACTCACCAATCTCTTGTATCACCTCCATGTCTTCAGACACAACAGATGGGATGCTATCATTCAGTTCAAGGAAGATTTCCACTGATATCCTTCTCCTACCACAGAACACCCCCCCCCATTGCACCCTATACTATTATTAAGGGCCTCCAAACCCCGAAGAGCTGTATTTTTGGGAGCAAAGCAGGCAGGGGGAGGTAGGAAAGCATATTGTGAGCATAGTTCTGCCTGAAGTGCTCAGAATTCAGAGCTGTCCATTAGTTCATATGTAAGAAGAGCCCTGCAAAAGCCCCAGGTTTGCACAAATAAAAAATACACAGGGTTAAACAAAAAAATACACTGCATTAACCATAATACAAGCAGTTCCTATAGCTTTAAGAAACAAATGACCTCAGTGGCTGTTGCTAGACAGCCATAACAGTACTGCCAGTAAAAGGCAGGGGAGGGGGCAGGGTCCTTTTCAGGACTGTTTTGGTCTTTGAGGGGACTCATCAGGGCCAGCAGGCAACCACCAGGTGACTTGTTACCACACAATTTGCATGATTCACCCAGGATGGGTTGCTTGCTCAACAGCAGCCGCCCCATAAAAAACAATGTGATGTAATGGACAGAATTTCAGACAAGGTTCTGGGAGACCCGGGTTTGAATCTCCACTTTGCCATGGAAATTCACTGGGTGACCTTGGGCCAGTCTCACACTCTCAGACTAAGCTACCTCACAGGGCACTAGGGGGATAAAATGGAGGGGAGGAGAATGATGCAAGTGTTCAGGCCCCCAGGGGAGAGAAAAATGGGGTATAAAAGAAGCAATTATGGCTAAAGAAGGGGGACAGATGAAAGGTAGGTTGGTTGGCATATGGGAGAGAGGTGGAAGGAGGGAAAGCTAAAGGTATGGGAGTTGCCAGTCCTTTCAGGGTAGAGACTGCCAAGAGCAGGGAAGAGAAAGAAATGGGAAAAGGAGAGAGATTATGGGGGCTTTCAGGAAAGGGAATGAGAAAGTAGTGGGGATGGTAACTGAGGTGCCTCCTGCAAGTACTTGAGGGGCCAACTACTTTCCCCCCCAAACTGAAAAGCCCCCAAACTCTTTAGCCATTCCTTGCAGGAAAGGAGATCTAACACCTTCATTAACTTACATTTTTCTGCAATATCTTTGTTTGTGTGTGATAAGTTTTATAAAGGGTTTAGAACTGTAGTATAATGAAATAACTCAGGAACAGCTTAGGCTTTTATAAGGGGATATAGAATCATAGAGTTGGAAGGGGCCTCCTGGAAATTCACAAATACCTCCCCCTCCACACCCACAGTGACCGCTGTTCCATGCCCAGAAGATGACAAAAACCCTCCAGGATCCCTGGCCAAACCAAGAGATTACAGTCTCTTGAGATTTTTACTGTATGCATTACTTGCTTTTACTGCATTGTCTTTTACCTTTGGAATTCGCTTTCTGCATTACCACGTGTTATGCCATAGACATTTTTTGTTTGCATCAGTATATTCAATTCTCCCAAGGAGGAGGGTTCCATCAATAGTCATACAGTTTACAATAACAATTAAAACAGATTAAAAACATCAAAATCTAAAACCGTAAAAAAAAACCCCCATAAAATAGTACAAAAGTCATAAAATACTGTGCAAGATCTTATCAGAAGTCTCAGTAGTTAAGATGGAACAGTAGTGTGGGTGCCCAGGCGGCTGCTCAAATCTAGGACACTAACGGGAGGCCAACCCAAAGGGTGGGGGGAGTCCGCTGCCTCAACTAAAGGGCCCGGTGGAAGAGCTCCGTCTTGCAGGCCCTGAAGAATTGCAGTAACTTACTTCATTTATAGGAGGCTGCTGTGGCTCAAGTGGTTAAGACGCTGTAACTGCAGACCGGAAGGTCGGTAGTTCAGCAGTTCGAGACCCGAGTGCCGCATGACGGAATGAGCTTCCGTCTCTGGTCCCAGCTCCTGCCAACCTAGCAGTTCGAAAGCAAGAAATTGCAAGTAGATAAATAGGTACCACTTCAGTGGGAAGGTAACAGCGTTCCGTGCACCTCGGTGTCTAGTCATGCCGGCCACATGACCATGGAAACGTCTTTGGACAGCGCTGGCTCTTCGGCTTGGAAATGGAGATGAGCACTGCATCCCTAGGGTTGGATCCGACTGGCTTTCGAGCAAGGGAAACCTTTACCTTTACTTACTTCATTTATACCATGCCATTCTCCCCCAAGTCACTTACATAATTCTCTGCTCTTTCATTTTATCTTTAAAACAACAGCCCTTTGAGGTAGGTTAGGGTGAGAGTTTATAATTAGCTCAAGATCACCCAACCAGCTTCCATGGCAGAGTGGGGGTTAGAACCAGGGTTTTCCAGATACCAATCTGACTAATCCACTTCACTGCCTAATATGCTCCTGCAGGCTTTGTAGAAGTTCACCCGTGGTCCAAGGTGGGACCTAGGGAAACCTGGCTATCTAGCCCCTCTTTCAATGTTCCACACCCAATATCTGGCATGCCCCCTTTCCCTTCATTTCTCACTAGTAACTACCCTCTGCATTTTCCATCTGACCCCCCTTCAGTGCCCTTTCCATGTGCTTTTCTGTCTGCCAATAAATCTTTCAGTAGTTTTTCCCCCTCCTCATTCTGACTGATTATCCCTGCCATCAGAGGCACCTTCTCTGCTGTCATGATGCGGGCTTCACACACACACACACACACACACACACACACACACACACACACACACACACACACACACTCCTATTTTAGTGGCCAAAATGAACTTCAAATGCATCATGTTTTGATCTGTGCAACATCTCCTCCCCCAAACTCCAGTTTAGATAGGGCTGTGCTTAGAACAGAGAAGTAGTGATCAGTCTGATGAGATGTGATGGTTCTGAGCTAGGGTTGCCAGCCTCCAGGTGGGGCCTGTTTACTGAGACACAAGGCCCACATAAACAAAGCTTATCTGGTAGTAAGCTTTGTTTTTCTCCTGAAGCAAGACTTCAAACCAGGACCATTACCAGCATATAGGAGTGTGTGCCCAACCCTACCTAAGAAACTACAAACATTTTACTTTATTTCACCAGAGCCTACTCTTTTTTTTTCTTCAATGGGGAGGGGAGGAAAATAACTAGAGAAGAGTGGAAATGACAAGAGAAGGGGGAGGGGGGCACTGGCTCCTGCCAGAGACCTGCCAGGCTTTGCATGTTAGTCAATTTCACTCGGCGGCCACTGGTACAGGCTATGGGGCAGGGAAACACAAAGTGACTGTCTCCCTGTCCTACCTTGCAGGGCTGACGTTGGGGGAAAATGGCAAAAAAGCCCCTGCTGCCCCCCAAATTACCAAAACTGCCCCCCCCTGCCTCTCAGAGAGGCTCCCTGAGGAACCCCCACCCCAGGCCACCCTTTTTCTTCTTTCTTTAATTTCCTGCCTGAAAGAGGATTTTCCTGCCCTATGTGCGCAGTGCTTTTGGGGGACTGGGTGTGTGTCTTCTGCCTGCTTTGGCTAGCCCACCCATCCTTGCAAAGAAAATTTCCTGCAAAGAAAAAGGAGGGGAATTCAGATTTCACAGGCTCCCAGGAGATTTTCAGGCAAGCACAGAAGCTGTTGGGCGGTGGGGAAGTCTTTCCATATGTTCCTCTGTGGTGAAACAGTAAAAAAAAAAGTCTGTGGGGGAGGGTTCCAGAATGACAGCTGGAGAATGGCTTGCGGACTGGCTGAGGGGATCAAACCTTCCTAGGCTGAAAACAGCCTAGAATAGAGCTAGGAATGGCAGGGTGTTCATTCAGACACTCAGAAGTCCTCTCGCCAGCACATATGTGCTCAGAGAAAAGTTTGCATTTTAATGGCGTTTTTTACTCAGAGGGAATTTTTCTGTTTTTTGCACTCTTTATTTCTTTTTTAAAAGGATGGAACTGGTGTGGGGGGGTAGATTTCCTGCTTGCATGCTTTAACATGGGTTGGGATGGGGGAACCAGAGACGGGGATTCTCTCTGTTTTCTTGGTAAGTAAAACTCTTGCTTGCTGCTTCTCTCTTTTTAAAATGGCTGTTTGCAAACTAACTCTGCTTTCTATGGGTGAAAACTGTTGCTTGCATGCTGAATGCTTGAACTGTGCTGGCATGTAAAAAAGCTGATTGCTTTGACTGGGGGGGGGCTCTCTCTGTTTTCATGTAGGGAGCTGGGAAAGTCCCCCCCTCCCTGTTTCTCTCTCTCTCTCTCTCTCTCTCTCTCTGTGTGTGTGTGTGTGTGTGTGTGTGTGTGTGTGTTGAATGAATAACAGCGTGTGTGTTTCAAGTTTTCCTCTGGGGGGGGGAAGGTTTGTAGAAAGAGAGAGCACGCTTTAGAAATTCTCCTCCTCGTCCTGGCAAAAGCAGGACCTCTCCCACAGGGGCAATGCTTTTGCTCTGTGGGGCTTGCAAAGGGGAGGGTGGAAATCAGCTGGCTGGGGAGGGACTGTGAATCTACTCATGTGTTGACTATTTAAAACGGAGATACTTTTTTCCTTCACTGCAAACTAACCTTCGCTACTGCTTTTGCTCTCTGGGGCTTGCAAAGGGGAGGGTGGAAACCAGCTGGCTAAATGGCTGGCTGGAGGGTCGGATGGGGGGGGGGGCTCAGACCCTGGGGTGTCTGCACTAAACACAGCACAAGCATTTGCCGTGTACAGTTTTCACACATGTTCCCAGCCCCACTGCTGTTTTCAAAGTGTTCCCCCCTTCTACAAAAAACAACCACACACAGGGAAAAATCCAATTTGCACACTGTATTTTTCCCCTCCCATACAAAACTTCAAAAAGCACGCCTACTACATTTCCCCAATAGCTTTCTCTCCCCCAGCTTCCAGCCAGACGCTACACCATTGGGGGGGGGGGGAAGCCAACACATGGTCATGGTGCTTCCTCTGGCTGACAGCAGCTGCCATCTTGCCACCACCTTGAAGCATGGCCCTTAGGGAGGCAGGAGTAACCCTAGGGGGGGAGCTGTCAAAATGACTGACATGACAGGTCCTCCTGCCCCACTTGTGGATACCTAAATCCAGAGACTGGAGTCACCAACAGGCAAGACAGATCTTTCTACAAACTTGAGAAAAACGACATGTTTACAGAAAAATCTGAAATCTAAAAACAAACGAACATGGGGATGGGGTTAAAACACCCCAACACAATAGAACCAGTGCCTCTATTGTTGAGAAATGGATGCCCTCAGAGAATTCAGTGGCCACTGTGGGAGCTGCTAGACAGCCAAAATAGTATTGCCAGCCTTCAAACATCGGTTTCTGTCAGTAAAAGGCAGTGGGGAGCGCCCTTTGCAAGGCTATTTTGGCTTCTCAGTCCACCACTGCTCTCCTAACAAGCTTTGCATTATTCTAGAAGAGCTGCTACTATGAAAGGCAGACTATAACAGTAGTAAATTAATTAATTAATTAATTAATAATAATGTAAAGTTAAACACGAATGTTTTATGTCACCTTATTGTTGTAAATTCTATAAAGATCCCTCTATTCAAAAATTACCATTCAAAACATTACCACTCATTCTGAAAACTTTAAACTATTTAACAGTTTTCAACAATTAATCAAGCCTGTTCTATTTCTCCAACAGGACATGATAAACTGGGACATAACTTACCTACAGCACTCTTCAAACCAGCGGGCAATATAATCCCACATATAGTATGGCTCAAAGGAATTAAACAGAAGATTGGCAGTTTTAATCAGCTCTGCTGTTTTCTTATTTTCCCTCAATTTGCTAAAAGAAAAAAATATAACAGGATTTATTATAAAAAATATTTTGTCCTTTCCACTCCAAATGTATTTCTTCATCTTCCACACATGAATTTTCCTTTTCCGCCTCCCCATCCTACCACTTTTCTTCTGCATTCTGCTCTTATTCCTACACAGGAAACTTCTTTGTGTTGTTCTTAAATTCTGAGGTGCTTAGTGTAAGAAAGACGGATATTTACTGCTTCTCAGATGCCCTTCACAAGGTTCCTCAGAGAGGAAAAACCATTCAGCTACTGTCTTATCTGTGCAGCTTGGCAGCTAGCAACTGTTTTGAAGGGACTACACAAAAATTTTAAAAGGCATACACACTGTTAAAAAAAAACACACCTTGACACAGAGAGTACTCCATCTTTCTGTGTTTATACCTCTGAGGATGCCAGTCACAGTTACTGGCGAAACGTCAGGTTCTACAATGCCAAGACCACTGCCACACATCCCGGAATATCTACAACAACTAATGAACTCCGGCCGTGAAAGCCCTCGACAACATACTGTCAACATACATACAAGGAGGGGGGGAGAGCTTTCTCCCATCTCTGCTGTTTCAAAAGTTATTTCATTCTATGTGGGACAACAGGAGGGAAATCAATTAGATTCATTTTTAGCAACAAATAGAATGCCTTGGCTTAGTCTATGTTTAGTAATATGCTGGATATGGTTCAACTTCTATGGTTTGCTAAAAGTTTCAAGCATAAAAATTTAGTGAAATTTTTTTCTAAAATACACTCTGGGATGCCAAAAAGCTATTTCAGGTTAGCCCAAGGGCTTGCACTCATCCAAGGAAATGTCTGCCTTATTTTGAAACACAAACTGAAATTATTAACTCTCAATTTTCTTAGAATTATTTTGTCATGTGGTATGAAAAGCCCCCACTGTTCAAGAAACACCAAACCCAGACCATCGGGTGCGTGGAATTATCTGAATAGAAATTTTAATCCTGGTGGCTACAAATTACAGTTCCACTTTCCCCCTTCCGCATCTAGTAACCTGCTTAGTTGTGCATGGTCCTTGCTGAAGGAAGATTCCACCTGAAGATCCAGCTCTGCTTTGCACTGTGTATATAATGTCCTAAATACTTCAATCAGTACATCCTCTAATATTACAGGCCCTACAGAAAGAGAGAGAGAGAATTAGGCTGATTCTAAAGAATTATTCACTAGCTAATGTCAGGACTGAGCCCAGATCATTAGTTCCTAGAATTTAATCCATTATGCAATTAGACAGCATACAACAAAAGACTCATTTGCAGTCTTCTTTTGTATTCTTACTACAATTAGCTGTGTAAAAGCCATAGATTTCCAGACTTGTGCTTTCAAAACTAAATTTCAACACACAATTATTGTCTGGAGAGCTAATGACAGTATTTTGAGTGTTTCATCTCAGTAACAATGATCCCTTTCCCACTTCTGTTGAAATGTAAGCAATAATGATACAAGTTAAACAGAGAGGAGAAAATCTGGTCAGTGTGCATTCTTGGGAAAGTCTGCCCATTTGGATTTTGCTGCACAGAAAACCAGGCAGGTAACAGACCTCTCTGACAATTACAAAAATGATTTTCTTAATACCATACGTATTAGAACTGACTGAGTGCCAAAATGATATCCCATCCGAGGTAATGGAAAAAGGAGGCCCAGAAACAAATGCAGAATAACTGAGCCCTATTTGCTGTGCTCCAGTATTGCAGAAAGACACATAGCATTGCCACAAAATACAATTTTATATGGAGTATTAAAAGCCTCGATCAGGATGGCCCAGGCCAGCCCAGTCTCTTCAGATCTTGGAAGCTAAGCAGGGTCGGCCCTGGTTAGTATTTGGGCAGGAGACCACCAAAGAAGTCCAGGGTTGCTATGCAGAGGCAGAGAATGGGCAAACCACTTCTATTTGTCTCTTGTCTTGGAAACCCTACAGGTAGCCGTAAGCCGGTTGCAACTTGACAGCACTTTCTACCATCACCATCTTGTCTGACAGTTCCATAGGACCCACTTACTCAAAGCAAACAACTGCACATTTATATCCAAGGAACTGGAGGAAAAACAGGTTGCTTACCTGTAACTGGTGATCTTCGAGTGGTCATCTGTGCATTCACACCCATGGGATCTAGTGCACACGCGCTGGATCGATCGGCATTGTAGCAAGCTCTTTAATGGATCTTCGCGCCCAGTCCCTCGGGCATACGCAGGAACCCCACCGCGCATGCCCAGAGGGGTGGGCACGGACATCCCGCCAGTTTCTTCAAACCGCCGCAAATCAACCCCTATGGAAAATGTAGAAGCTGACAGCAGTGGGGAAGGAGGGCGGGTGGTGTGAATGCACAGATGACTACTCAAAGATCATCAGTTACAGGTAAGCAACCTGTTTATGTTCAACGTGGTCTCTGTGCTTCACACCCATGGGAGATTAGCGAGCAGTGGCCTACCTGGAGGAGGGTGCTGGCAGGTCCTTTACTGCGTAGCCGAAGATAGAATGCGACATCCCATGTTCGTATTAGAGTTTTTGCGGACGTCTAGGGCGTAGTGCCTGATGAAGGTGTTGGGCGTGGCCCACGTAGCGGCTTTGCAAATGTCCGTCAGGGGCACTCCCTGGAGGAAGGCAGTGGAAGCAGCAACAGCTCGGGTTGAATGGGCCCTGACAGGGCCAGGCAAAGGCTGTTTGGCAATCAGGTAGCAGAGGCGGATGAGACCCGCAATAACACCTTGAGAGGCGCTGAACTGTGATGCGAGTCTCCAGCCTTGATGGTGTGTACGAGACGAATAGTTGGGACTCACGTCTCGCTGGGCGGGTTCTGTTCAGGTAGAACAGGAGCGCACGCTTCACATCCAAGGTGTGTAAGAGTCTGTCCTCTGAGGATGTCAGAGCCGGGAAGAAATCCGGGAGGAAGACTTCTGCCTGTAGGTGGAACTCTGACACTACATTTGGCAGGAACGAGATGTCAGGGACGAGGCAGACGCCATCTAGCAAAAAGGACAAGTATGGCGTGTCATGCCTGAAAGCCAGTATTTCTCCAACTTGCCTTGCAGAGGTGACAGCAACCAGAAAGGCCGTCTTCCACAACAGACATTTCATATCGCAAGTTGCGAGGGGCTCAAAGGGTTTCCTCGTAAGCTGGCGAAGAACTAGAGGAAGGTCCCAGGGAATGACAGGAGTTTTGACAGGAAGATAGAGATGCAATAAACCTTTTTAAAAAGTTTTGAAAGCGGATGGGAAAACAGTGTGCATCCGTCAACTTGAACATGATAGGCCGAAAGGGCGGCCAAATAAACACGTAACGATGAGTGGGAAAGTCCTGAGTCAGCGAGGGATAGGAGGAATTGAAAAACTTTCTCGAGACCTGCGGAGGTGGCTCGAGGGGCATCATCACCTAGGGAAGAACAGAATCTTTGCCATTTATAATGACAGGACCTTCGCGTAGTAGGTTTTCTGCCGTTCAGTAGAACGTTTGCTACGCAGCTGGAAAAACCGTTGACGTTATTCTCCACGCTGTCAATTTCAAGCGTGGTACGTCGTGATGTAGGAGAGGGGAGTCGGACAGGAAAAGGAAGTCCTGTGCCGGAGGGAATTGGTGGTATATCCCTGTTGACGATTCGAGGACGGTCAAGAACCATGGTTGTCTCGGCCACCATGGGGTTATCAATATGCAGTCCACGCCGTCTCTGACAATTTTGCAGACCACTCTCAGAAGCAGGGGTAAGGGAGGAAACAAGTAAAGGAGATCGGGTCCATTTCCCAGTCGTGGAGACTGAGCCCTGCTCGACTTAGATGGTCTGCCTGCACATTCATGTGTCCTGGGATGTGCGTGGCTATTAAGAAGATGTCGTGGGTGATGCAAAAGTCCCATAACTGGATGGCAAGGTTGCAGAGACGTAGGGAGACCGTGCCTCCTTGCTTGTTGACATAAGTGAGTGCAGTGGTGTTGTCTGTGAGGACCGTAACACATTTCCCCTTGATCAGTGGTAGGAAACTCTTGACAGCGAACTGTATTGCAAGCAGTTCCACGAAGTTTATGTGCCAACGTTGTTCGTGGGTATTCCACTTGCCTCCGACACACATGCCCATCATGTGTGCACCCCATCCCGACAGGGAAGCATCCATGGTCAGGGTGATTTGGGGTGATGGAAAGGTGCTCCCTGGAAGAGATTGGAAGGGACAGTCCACCAAAGGAACGAGTCTCGTATGTTGGGAGGAGGGGTTAGGATGACAGCATGTGCGTTTTTCGTTGGGAAATACTTGCGGATAAACCAGTTGTAGACGACACATTTTTAGTCTGGCAAAGACGAGAACCGACGTAGTTGCGGCCATAAGGCCGAGAAGCCTCTGAATTTGGAAGGCAGTGACAGAAGGTTGGGTATGTACGACGGTGGCTAAAGAAATGATGTCTGCCGCTCTGTCCTGAGGCAGGTAAGCCATGCATGTCTTGGAATCCAGTATAGCACCGATGTACTGTATTCTTTGGACTGGACGTAATTGAGACTTCTCGCGATTATGTCAAACAAATGTTGGAAGTGTAACA